GAAATTGTGTTTTCAAATTACCTGGAACATAAATCGTAGGAAACACAAACGTTTTGGAAAAAAAGAGAAACTGTTATACTTCAGTGACTATTCCCTCCATCGATTTACAGAATATGTTTTCTTTCCATTAGTCATTTCATATAGGAGGCATTTGATTTGTCAACCATCAGTGACAGTGTTTATATAAAAATGTGATTGATTGTTTTTTAGTGGACGGCAGTTGGTCGTGCTGGTCTTCGTGGTCAAAGTGCTCGGTGACGTGTGGTGGAGGGCACTACATGAGGACTCGAACCTGCAGCAACCCCCCCCCTGAGTACGGAGGGGACATCTGCCTGGGCCTGCACACTGAGGAGGCTCTGTGCCACACACAGTCCTGTCCAGGTACACACACACACATACACACACACACACACACACACACACACCTCAGTGATAAGCAGCTCAGGGCCCTGACTTTTCCACCCATCCATCACAGGTTCATTGCTTATTTTCTTTAGTCTCTCTCTCTGGGCCACTCGAATGAAACTCATGCATGACTAAAATGCAGCTGAGGGCACACACCCACACACACACACACACACACACACACACACACAAACACACACACGTACGATTTTGAGGTACTGTACTTGAGAGGCCAATCTTAAACTTTGTACTGCAGTGTTGCTAAAGCCATCTTTAACGTATCTATGTAGAAAGGACGGGGGAAATAAATAAATATCAGTGGTAAATGCATTTTCGGGTCCTTAAAGTGCTGAAAAGGCCAGTTGAACTTTGAATTGTACAGCGTGTGTCATGGAGTATTTGTAGACACTATGAACTTTACATCATGACATAGCAATCTGATTAAATTGTCTTAGTATATTCGAGAAGATTGCCTTGGACATGTCTAGTATCTTGAGACTCTGTTATTCCTACTTTGGAGGATCTGAGTACTTTTTAAACGTACTGTCGTTGTGTTTTGCAGAGAGCTGGTCCAAATGGTCCGAGTGGTCCCACTGTGAGTCCAACGGGGCGCAGACGAGGGTCCGTCACTGCGACGTCCTGTTCCCCACCGGAAACCAGTGCTCAGGGAACAACAGTGAGACCCGGCCCTGCCCCCCCGACTCTAACTTAATACCAGGTGAACACACACACAGAGATGGCACACACAACCTCTACTCAAGTAGAAGTAGAGATACTCGTGTTTAAAAATACTCTGGTGAAAGTAGAAGTACTGACTAAACTTCTTTACTCAAGTCAAAGTAAAGAGGCTTTGAAATGTACTTCAGTAAAAAGTACCCATAACTAGCAGCTGTTTTAAAGAGTACCTGACCTCCCTTTATATTAATAGAACAATAATGTCATTGTTAGCTAATGAATGTTTCCATGCTGAACAACGGCAACATGACAACGTTTTCATTGGTCCCTCTTCTTTAGAGAAGACCAGGAAATGATGGATACACGGATCGTGTTCAAATCAATAGGCACGCAATGACTCTAAATAATAATGATCACGCCACCAAACACACATTCAAACTAAAGGAACCAGCCTGTTTGGAAAATGAGAGAAGTAGGAAGTACAGGTATTTGTGTTCAACATGTAAGAAGTAGAAAGTACAGGTATTTGTGTTCAACATGTGAGAAGTCAAAGTAAAAAGTGGTCAGAAAAGTAAGTAGTAAAGTAGGCTACTGATACCAGAAAAATGTACTTAAGAACAGTAACAAAATATTTGTACTCCACTACTTCCCACCACTGCACACACACACACACACACACACACACACACACACACACACACACACACACACACACACACACACACACACACACACACACACACACACAGCCGCTTATGTTTCTTCAGGAACATCTTGGGCACTCGTGAGTGACTAAAACACAACTTTGAGCACACACACACCTCCCAACACCACCATATGCCCACAGCGGTAATTCAGCTCATTTCCAAGAGTCCTGAGATAATGAAATGCGTTAGCTATGGCTCTGAGGGACTCGCTGGTCTCAGGTCAGGTTCAGCGACAGGGCAGCTCTCCTGGGGACGGTCGGGATAAGTGTCTTGCTCAAGGACTCTGAGTGCGGCAGGTGATTACACGAGGGCGTGAACCCCAGCGCGACACTTAAGGGCCGTCTCCCTCCTCATTTCAACATCGCCCCTGCTATATTAGTTTCATTATGAGTCAAGGAGTCTTGTCAGGCCAGGCAGAAAGCACTTACACCAGCAGTTTTCCGTGTTTTATGTTGGAAGAAATGAAGGAAATGGCTCCCGAGTGCTGCTTTTTGCACCTGGTCATTCAGGGTTTTTTCTTAATTATTTTTCAAGCATCTTTGTTATAAATTCCCCTTAATTATGCACACGTCTTCATAATGTGTGGACAGGGTGTCCCACAGCTTCTCTGTTGTTTGCTAACAATGCAATCACATATTATTTGATAGAACTGGTAAGAAGAGATAGGAGGAGATCAACTGTATGGATTTCACCCCTGCTGACTTTTAGCTATACCTTTCAAGCTGTCTGCTTTTAATTTAAGAAAATAATGATAATGACCGATTAACGTGCAAATAATATGCTCTGCTCAAAGCCACCAGATTACAGAAACAGTAACTTCACGTCGCTGATCATCGTAAAGCAGGGGTGTCAAACTCAAGGCCCGCGACTTCATTTGATGTGGCCCGCAAGAGCTTCCAAAGAATATAATACGTTATTATACGGTTACATGCCACTTTACAGACGACATTTCCCACAATGCACCGCGCACTGTGACATGTGCACTGAAGAGAGAATGATTTGCCCTGGATTTCTGCTTTCAGGCGTAGTTAATTGCTAAGTTATTACCCTCTCCGATAATATTCCAATTCAGAGGCAATAATGTAATATATAATACATTATTTTGTATATATTATATGTATGTATATTTATATAGTTACAGCCGGCCCTTTGAGTGCAACCATAATGCTAATGTGGCCCGCGATGAATTTGAGTGACACTTTATTCAAACTCTACAGAAAGGTCTATTCATTTATCTGCATTTGCAAATATATGATATTTCTAGCAGGTGTTGTCTTGTTTAAAAAAAACTGCATTTACACTCTGATTTTAATGAAAAAATATGATAAAAGTAGAATGCAATCACTGTCCAGGGAGGGTATCGATTAGCCAGTTGAACAGTTGTTTAAATGAACTCTTTCTGAAGGACTTAAAGTTCAGAAAGTCCTTTTAAAACATACACACACGTCATCAGTATTGATTTCTGCTCAAACTGGTAGCCCCCTATTGACTGCCGGTAATGTGAGACACCTTTCGAGCATTAAGCATTAGAGATCATTAAAACTCCTCTTTTACCAAAGGATGCTTAGGTTATTAACATGGCATGATTGCGAATAATAAAACCGCTATGAAATGTTTGTATATATTTATAAACACGTTTTTTTTGTATGCCCTGCAGTTCTTACACTTCAGGAATCATGAATTGTTGGATTAGAATAAACATTTGATTGAGTCATAACTCCGTAACCTTTCTGTATCAATTAGCAGGGATGTAATAGTCGTGAAAACCCTTCAAAGGTCTTTATAGAATTACCCATTTGCCTTTATACCTTATCATCCATCCCCTTTAATGGGAAAGGTAGTCCATTAAGGTTCATTAAAAACGTCTTGTAGTTCATTTCCTTTAATGAAAGCCGATACTTTTCATAAACCACTCCAGGTGCCACAGACGTGATTAGCTGGCGGAGTTTTTTATGATAATCTGTTCCATATTGGGTGCAGCTTTCATCTCCACACTCTGCGTCAAGGGTACCATTTGTCACGCTAACAGGGGTGCGCTTGTTCGTTTGTGGTTTTTGGCTCTAATTCTGCTGCCTTTTGCTGTTTATTCTCCTTCGTCAGAAATCTCGATTGCACGCTCCAGTCAGGAGGAGAGGCGCTGTGGAGGTAATTCATATGTGTGTGTGTGTGTGTGTGTGTGTGTGTGTGTGTGTGTGTGTGTGTGTGTGTGTGTGTGTGTGTGTGTGTGTGTGTGTGCCTAGCTTACAATAACTATGGCTATAAGATTTCGCACATAGATCCAGCTGCGAAAACACCCGAGAAACGTTGATCGAATCAAATCTAGAGGAAGTCAGAGCTGCACGGGATAAAATGTGCCGGGTTTGTTTCCTCCATAAGAAAATATCTTGAGAGAAGCACAGGTAGCACGTCTGCTTATGTTGCTGTTGTGCATATACTGCCTCAATAACTGCTTCTGTTGGACGATATTGTCCCAGAAATTATTAATCTGAACAAAATCATTGTAATTTAAGATATAATTATAATATGAAAGCATAATCTAGACAGTCAAATAGTCTTGGAAGCATTATGAATGGTCAAAACTGTAAAACCACAACAGTGTGTCTCACTGCAGCAACAATCAATGAAGAATCTACGGGAGGCTTTAGGGAGTTTTTGTGCCCTGAGTTTTGCCTCGCAGGCTGCTCCTTACATCATTATTTAGCTTGTTGGAGGCTGAGAGAGGAGCTGTCTGCAGACGATGCTCAGGGCAACTAAACAACCTGTTGTTCTCTTGGATATCTTTGTTTGAGCACAAGTAAAAGCCAGTTGAGAAAAATGCTCTGACATGTAACTCATATTTGGGTTGAAATATGTATCTCTTTATGAATGAAACATGATGTTCAGTAAGGAAACACAATGCATCATATCAATTGTTATATAAAACTACCAATATTTTGGAAAAGATGATTGCTTATCAAGCTAACAGTAGAAGAATAATACATGTATTCCTTGTTTTTTACATTTTACTCTGGCCATAGACTTTCCTTTTGATGATAGTGATGCAGATGAATTCAAATATCACTAGATTTTGTTGAAGAGTAAAAAGATTTGACTTTTATTTGACAGCAGAGGACAAATTTAGATTCAGCCGATGTCTTTTTATTGCAGAGCATTCTATCATTACCATATGTTTTGCAGCTTCAATTACCACTTCCACTTGTGTGCATTGACACATATCTCCTCTCCTCCTTCTCTCCTTTCTCCTGGCAGACTTCAACCTCTTCCACATGATCGCTGTGGGGCTGAGCAGCTCCGTACTGGGATGTCTGGTCACTTTACTGGTTTACTCTTACTGTCAGCGCTACACCCAGCAGGCGCACGAATCCACCATCATCCACCCCATCTCAGCGGCTCCGCTCAACACCAGCATCACCAACCACATCAACAAACTGGACAAATACGACTCGGTGGAAGCCATCAAGGTCTGACGTCCACAACACTTCCTTCCTTTAATCACTTAAAGGTCCCCTATTATACTGTTTTTCATCAATATATCACAGGTCTCAGATATATACAGAGCCTGTCTCTGATTGGCTGAAACACCAAACAGATCATTGCAGCATTACCCATAATCCCCTCTGTTTCCAAAGTGCTGATTCTCTGTCTGTTACTTTAGATGAAAATAAGGAGCCCCTCCCCACGCCCCTCTGAGAGATTTGGTTACAAAGAACACAATGGTGCTCTAGGAGGATATTCAGGTGATAAGGGGGGGGGGGGGGGGGTTACCTTGGTTGCTGATTGGCTAATGGTTACACAAGCCAACACATCGTTATGACATCATAAAGTGGCCAAAATCTGATCAGCTCATTTTCAGACAGGTTTTTATAGAAATGGATCAGGACAAAAAGAGAGAGAATCTTTGTTCCTGAAACTTTAAGAGTCTCTTTCCACAGAGGGGACACATGTTGATGTAGAAGAGACATGAAGAAGAGGGGACACATGTTGATGTAGAAGAGACATGAAGAAGAGGGGACACATGTTGATGTAGAAGAGACATGAAGAAGAGGGGACACATGTTGATGTAGAAGAGACATGGAGAAGAGGGGACACATGTTGATGTAGAAGAGACATGGAGAAGAGGATTTTGCATAATAGGGGACCTTTAATGTCACACACAATAATACAATACAAAGGGGCTTTATTGGCATGACCACATTTTAAAATGCCAAAGCATTCCGCACAAGGAGTTATAACAGAACAAAACAAACACTAAACATAAATGTCCACAATACATGTGGCACAACACACACACATACACACACACACACATACACACACACACATACACACACACACACACTAACACACTCCTGACTGCATGCCTCCGACTGATAGGCAGCTTTTCTCCGTGTGTGTCTCAGTGTGTGACTTTGTTCTGTGTCAGTGGTCATACACTGCTTTCTCATAACACACTAATGCAATTACTGATAGATGCGTGGGTAGGTAATCGGATCAGACGCTCTTGAATCTGCACATTTCCTTTGCTTGTCTGAGTCCGGGTTGCATCTGTAATTGCAGACGGTCACGTTGGTAGAGATCCAGATCCTCTCCGGCTACAAACAGCCTCTTATCCTCAGATGCATCGGGCTTTAGTGCCACACTGAGCTGCTGATTAGTGCTTGTCCCACAGCCTCTCTATCTCCAGCTGGCCTTCTTTCAAGGAATATAGCGCTTTGTATTAAAGAGAAATTCAATCACACTGGGATTTCTTACTTGATATCTTAAAATTCACAAGTAACGAATCTGCTAGCATGATTTCAAACCAGTAAAATATGTGCCTCAAAATGTTTCTTTCAAAACACATTTGTGAGATAGTTTTGGCACTAGCAGGCCACTTAAAGACTCTGGCACTAATTGGTCTTCCTGCTGATTAAAAGCTATTGGATGTGCAACTTTTTCTATGTTTTTAAATAACAGAAAAAGATAAAAAATAAAAGTTGCCGAGAGCTCGATAAGCTTTGAAACGGGTACTTAATGTTGACAAAAGCAACTTCTTAATTTCTAGCTAGCTGGGAGATTTTGTGGGGTCTCTCCTATGTTATCAAGCTCTATAAAACCTTATGACTAGTTGACTTCACCCTTACATAGTGCTAGGTTAAATTGTGTTAGCGGAATATTTAACTGATGAACCAGCACTCTCCCAATTTTGTAGCTAATCAAATGATTGTTAGCTTTAAGTGTTGGTCCTTCCTCCGGCTGACTTTTCATATAACTGGTTTTAAAACTAGTGTTAAATGTACACTGATAAAGCTGAATGTCCCAGGCAAACGTCAAAGAGGACGACATGTAGTCTAAAGAAATAGCTTTCTCTTTGTACTGCAGGTTGAAGCTAGGCCAGACTTTTTAAAATCTGAGTACCACTTTCTTTCTAAAACGCCATTTGCACAACTTCAAAATGTAGAGAAATGAAAAGCTTGACAGCCCCTGCATGCTTCAGGCCATTGTTAAGGCTCTCGTTGGACAATCACTGTTCAGGAGTTTAATGAACAGCTTGGTATTATTATTAATATTAGACTTAACTATAATGCTGATAAATCTGGCATTTCTTATGCAGGGTTTCCTCTCACCTGTGTTTCATACGCTGTCAAAGGAAGTCTTTAATATCACATATATTACAAACTAAGTACCTGGATCTCTGTTTATAAAAACTACTCCTCAGATATGAAAGTGTGTTGTGAAACTGCCACAGAGTGAGAACAGATCCTTTGGCTCGGAAGCAAACGTCCCGAATGTAATTTAATTTCAGTCAGAATAAAGGTGCGCGGAGCGTTCATCTGTCATGCAATTAAAGTCAGACGCACAAAGCCTAATCCAGTTAGCTGTATGGCAGATAGAGGCGGATATGAATATAGACGGACCGTGTGAAGATACAAAAGGAAAGGCATGACGAATGAACACTAAAAGCACATTCTCCAATCTTTGCTCACTGACAGTTTGGATATGAAGTGAATTTCCAAACATTAAGTATCCGTAGAGCGTTCACAGGGAGGGTTGATGAACACCTGAGGCCATATCGGAGAGGTTTTGGCTCAAATCCTGATGTTGATGAGTCAGAATTATTATGCACCCAGACACCCTTCATGCTGGTTTCTGGGCCAACTGGAGAATCTCCAGCAGTCTAGTTTATGATTACACTCTTAAACTGAAGTTTGTAAAGACAGTTGATTATATGTCCAGGCTTCCTGTAACTCAGAAAATGGCCTTTAGGGTTTCTTTGAGGATGACTCTTGCCCATTCCTCTCCTCTGCAGCCAGATGTGTCGGTTCTCTTGCCCTTGGACGACCCCGCCATGCACCAGCCTCTCTCTGCTAACATGGGGGTGTCCATGCGTGGCCTGGAGATGTTCTACTAACCTCTACAACATATCGCCTCTTGACTCCCCCTCCCCACAACAACTCTTTGACCCCAACCTCTACTACTTCCTCTTCCCCACCGTGCCCCGCCCTTCCACTTCCTGTGTGTGGCAGGTTGGAGTACAGACTCTCTTTCTCTGCTCCCCTTCATCTTCCCATCACCCTCCTCCCTCCCGGCTTGTGAGAAGGCAGTGTATCCCCCTCCCTTATTTCTCAAAAAGTGCCTCCATTTGCATGTTTTTTCCATGTTGGTCCTTCTTGTTTCGTGCTCTATTTTATTATGAGAAAGGAAATCCATTGTGATGCTGTTTGATTATGCTCCTCTGTTACCTCTCTGCCACTTCCCAGCTCAAGCACATTTTGTTTACAGCACAACAACTCAAATGTAATAATTCTTCAGGTAATTAAAAACGTAGATGATGCTAACAAGCGTCGTAGCGCAGCTGTTTAAAAGCAGCCGTGGGGCGTGCTGCAGAGACAAGTCGTTGCATCCCCTTTGGGTGCAAATCACATTAAGAAAAAAACGCAAATATACGAGTTTTTTGTCCAGCATCTCGTTCCCTATCAGTGTCAGTCGGAAACATTCATCAACGGCAAATGCAGCATCATCAAGCGTTCAATTACTCTGCCCCGAGGGACAGCAGACGAACACATCCATTTGCCAAGTTGCTGATGTTGAAATGAGAAGCACATCAGAAGCTCATTACATGTTTACTATGTCACGCAGGGACAGAGAAGATGGCTCCATGGCTCTTCCTTATTGTTTAACAGGAAGTAGACTCTTGATCGATTTGTGTAGCTTAAATAGTCCCCAGAGGACCCACAATGCAGAGGGGGCCATGAAACTGCGGAGGTATTAGAGATGACAGAGGTGGACATACGGACGCACATCAAAATAACTTAGCCTTGTGATGGCTTATCATTTTTTCCAGCCTGTTTGCCAATGCTTTGACCTCGCTCTGTGAGAATGTATGTTTCATTCACTGAGCGGCCTCCCATTGATTTGTGTTGCTGCCTTTTTTTGTTAAGAAAGATGGATTTGCTTTTACCTTGCCATCTAGGCTGAATAATCACTTGATGCATGTGTCGCATTAGTCCAGACTGACTCCCTTTTTTCTTTCCATCCACAGGCCTTCAACAAAAACAATCTGATTCTGGAGGAAAGAAATAAGTACTTTAACCCTCAGCTTGCCGGGAAGACCTATACCAACGCATACTTCACCGACCTTAACACCTACGATGATTATTAAGCCGGATTCGGCCCTTCAGACTCTCCCCCTGTCATCCATTTTAGTTTTTTGTGCTTTGTATTGAGATTTGTGACACCATGTGCGGGACATTCCCACTCTCAGACTCTACGGCAGCTGTATAATGAAAACAGACACACAGTGTTGCCACAGAGGGAAATCCCACTTCCTCTCAGGTACACTCGGAAAACTACATTTTTTGGGGACAAATCTTGCCTTGACTCTCGCTGAGAAACTGGATTTCCAAGAAAAAGGGAAGAATACAAGCAAAGAGACTTCGGGGAATGGGATCCCCTTTTAACTTTCCTGTGACGCCTCTCAAACAGACCTGTATTTGTAACGATGGGAAATAACCACAAACTGCTTTTGCATGACTTCATCTGACGTGTTTTTTCTGTTTCGTTTTTGCATGGTTGATTGCATTCCTCAGTTAGAAGACTTGCAAGCAGTTTCTTAGCTGGTTTTGGAAGTCATAACAACAAAGACTTTGGAGATGTCTGATGGCTTTTACCATGTCCTGCTGCAGCAACCCAAAGGTCCTAAAATCAGGATGTAGATATTTGAAGTCTGTGGTCGAGTTTGTCCATTTTCCTTTCTGTTTCAGGCTCTAGCGGCTCGCAGTATTTGATCATTCAGTTTATTTTGCCTTTTAAGCTTTTTAAGGTGCATATGTTTTGTACAGGATGTTAAGTTTGAAGCCTATGTCTGTAGTTTTTTTTAATACATTTACTCAATGTCTCAAGTAAAGAATAAAACATGTCCTTTTAAAAAGAAAAAGCTTATGTGCATTCTGACAAAAGAAATCAGGAGTTATCATATCAGCCGGCATCAAGCTCACCGTACTTTTTTATATTTTTTGTAAAAAAAAAGAAACAATGTTTTTGAATTTTGATAGTGTTTCGCTATTCCTTTGGCTTCTGAGTTAAAAATGTAATTTGTGAGAGCAGGATGTTCATAGCATTTACTGTACAGACGGAGCGTAGCAAATACTACTCTCCCAACCTAGAGTGCTACCCATTGACTGTAAGATGAAACTCATTCATCAAGTTTCTGTTTAACCGAATATGAGGTTATTCAATGGTTCAGTTGCAACTAACTATTTTTACATGTTTGCTTGTGTTACTGTGCATAAATTAAAGACTGCTTCGTACACAAATGACTTGTCAGAGTGTGAGTTATAGGGATTCATTGTCATTTGCACAGCTCTCGACAGCTCTAATGAATGACGTGATGGAAGTGAAAAGATCCTCTCTCCTGTCTGCTTGCTCTGACATCTTTGGAGACTTTGTTCCTCGAGCAAAACGCTGAAAAACCACCGCACCGTGAGCACATAAATCACCCGAAACCAGAGCTAAAGACTCCCTCTGCACAGGTTTTAAAGGAGTCTTCAGCCCTGCAGTGAGAAATGGCTCCAGCAGCAGTGGAAGGATACCTGAAGGGTACAGATCGCGTCAGGCGGCGGGGTAAAGGTGGAGCCTGGAGTCCAAACGCTCATCTGTATGACGGGCTGTAGCACTAAGCACGCTGCTGTTCTCCATCAACCTTCAACCTGACGTCCCATCTGTGTGCGGAGGCTAAATGAGGGGGAGTTATTATTAATCACCCCGGTGTTTTGTCAGTGGGCGGTGAGGAGGGGTAGAAGCTGATCCAGCCCAGTGTAAAAAATCAATCCCTCTACTTTGAGTTCATCCTCACTATCCAAGAAAAGCTCTGCTAGACGATCTTTAATATGATGTTATCACGATGCAATCTTCTTGCAATTTTACACATTTTGCGATGCGGTGTCTTTTGATATATTACAATTTATTAGCTTTTTCTCTAATGCAAATTACGCCATTTGTCATCGTCTGTGTTATCTAATATGGTAAAGACATATATAAGGAAAACGTTTGAAAGTGCATTTCTGATATATTTAACTTTTGACCAACTACCTGCCAATCCTGCTGACCTCGTTTTTCAACATCTAAGCACCCTCTAATCGCCTAAAAAACGATTGTTACCAAAAATTGTATTTGCAACTTTATAAATGTTTGATCCTTGCCACCCAATATATTGCGATCTTATGCTATGATGTACTTTCCTCTAACCCTAGAGGACAGTGGGTGTATGTGTATGTACATATTTCCAGTTTTGGTTGGTAAAGTAATAACTGTTAGGGTTATGGTGCTCAAAGACAACCCCAGATTCACTCGCTTTGTGAATGAGATATGTCCACTTGTTTCATGTCTCCTTTTCTCTTAGATGCATGGTCACGATTCGGCACCTTGTCACTAAGTTTTCATTGAGGCTGACTCGCTGAAAGGCCACAAAAACAGCCAAAAGGGAAAGAGAAATCACAGGCAGAGAGCAGGGGATTCAGACACTGCCTCACACACAGGTGATGATTGAGGGGTTTTATTTCTGTGTGAGTCTGTACATTGTTGGTTTAAGAATAAGTGGTGTGAGCAGCTGCATTTCTCTCTCAATATTGGTTCTCCTCACAACACTAAACTTTGATGGATGAATCATCCTCGTACATAATGTACATTTCCCACACACACTCACTCACACACTCCAGTTCTGCTGCTTCCTTCAGCACTTTGCAGAAACACGAGCTATGTGACATTCCTCTTTGACAGCGAGGCAGAGGACAATAAATGACTTTTCCCAAAGTGGCATTTAAGGAGTGCTAAAGGTCACAGCTAAAGGTCAGGAGAGCAGGGCTCGTGCCTGTCGGAGACACTGAGTGTGAGAATGTTTGTGTGTGTGTAAAGAAGTCAAAGTGTCATGAGATGTGAGATGATAGAACTACCGTCTGCTTATGTTTATGCATGTGGGAGGTTTCAGCGAAATGGCAACAGCAAGGAAGACTGTAAATCTCAGCAACTATCAGAATGGATTGTCAACAATTTGATATGCAGACATTCATGTTCAGTACAGGATGCATCTTCGTGGCTTCGGTGTTCCCTGACTGTTCATCTACATATACTTTACTTTATGCCATCAAAACGAAGCTGTAGTGTCAGTATGTGTCTACATTGTATACAAGAAGGTGAGAACCATATCTTAAAGTGGACCTATTATGCTATATTGGAAACATATATTGTAGGGCCATGCCGATACAAAACATTTTTCAAAATACCAAACAGTTCACCCATTGTAGCCATGCCTCATACTGCTCATACCCCTATTTTGCAGCCCTGTTAGAGAAAAGCAGATTTTGGGTCAGACTCCTTAGCTTGAAAAAAATGCCTGATCAGAATTATACCGGAGATAAAAATCAATTCTGCTGTGATAAAACGCCATCCTGTTCTAAACCACATCAAGGATTATTTCTGAAACAGTATGGAGCTCAAATGCTTTTTCTCTTGCAGGTTTATCACAAGGTGAGTTCTTTTTTTATTTCCTGCTTTTTAAACACATGTGCTCTCCAGTACAGGTTAGCTCTGAGTGTTAGCGAGGCTTGCTAATGTAAACAAAGACGAGATTACGTCCAAAACACGTCAGGCATTGTTTCTGATAGCAATTATCTGTGGGTCCGCTGCCGATTTGACGTC